TCTACCATATGCCAGGCAAAATGATAAGCACTACTGAGGGTTGTGACTCTAAAGAAAGAGGGCAAAGAAAATTCAATGACTCTTAAAGGGTAGCTCATCTGGTATATGAAGACCTCAATTTGATTCTAAGAACCATGTAAAAATAAAAAACTGGACATGGTAGTATATGTTTATAATCCCAGTGCTGGGCAAATAGAGACAGGCAGATCCTCAGGGCTCACTGATCAATCAGCCTAGTCTTTTTGGTGAGGTCCAGTCCAATGAGATGCTTGAATTCATAAAAACAAACAAACAAACAGAAGGTGGATAGTGGGTGAGGAATGCCACCCAAGGTTGTCCTGTGCCCTATACAATTACATATACATACACATGCACCCATTCACATAGAGATACCTGAATACATATGAAATACACACATCTATGCAAAAAGAAAGTTTAAGATTGCTTGTCATGTCTGATTCAAGTTATATAGCATCAGGTAGAAGTCATTCTCTGCAGCAAGTTGGGACTAATCTAATGTCCTTACACTTTCATCCTTGTGCTACAAAGTAGATTCCCATCCAGCATGAATGTGGCTGGTAGAAGTCAGAAGAAAGGTCACTAGAAGTGCTTTAAAGCAGGAATCAAGGATTCCAGCGGCTCACGAGAAAGAGCAAATGTGTGGGGTCTGTCTTAGTTAGGGTTTCTATTGTTTATTGTGATAAAACAATAACAATAAACAACTTGGGAGAAAGTGTTTATTTCAGCTTAGAACTCTCAGGTCACACATTCCATCACTGAGGGAATTCAGGGCAGAAACTCAAACAGGGCAAGAACCTGAAGGCAGGAACTGATGCAGAGAGGACGAGAGGACACTGCTTACTGGCTTGCTTGCCATGGCTTGCTCAGCCAACTTTCTTATAGCACCCAGGACTGGCAGGCAGCCCAGGGTGCTATAATCTCTCCCACATCAGTCATCAATTAAGAAAATGCCCTACAGACTTGCTTACAGACAAATCTTCTGGGGATATTTTCTCAATTGAGAATCCCCTTTCCCAAATGACTCTAGCTTGTGTCAAGCTTGACACAAAAGTAGCAGAGTCGGATGCTGCTTCTGCGAGGGGGTCTCTCTTCTTCACTGGTCAAAAAGGAACTCAGACCCTGATCCAAAGGCTCGTCAACTATTCGCTAATTTATCAGGACTGGGTGATGATGTGGTATTCAAGGGGTGTTAGAGGATTTGAAAAGCGCTAAGAGTGGCCATGGCAGAGGAGAAGACAGAAGGATGGGTCTCTCCCTCCATCCTTCATTCAGACAAATCCTTTAACGTCTTATATTTGTTCCTGCTGTCATCCCGGATATTTTCGTTCATTGGGTTTTCTCCTGTTAATTTCTCAATTTCTGTTTGAGAAAATAAAATAAATCTTATGCTTATCTTTGTTTTCTTTACATATCCCTGTGAGCTTTGGAACAAAGGGTATAAATAAGTAGAATCCATTCAGTAGAAATAGGAGGGATCTGATGCCTCTTTCTGGTAGTCATTAGCCTCTCTGTGCCCTGATGTTGTAGCTTCAGACTAGAATCCCAATTTTTGTATTTGAATCTCTGTAAAGATGATGAATTTGAAACAGCTGCTACAGTACCAACTTCAATTTCACCTTGAAGTGACATGCTCATGTTAAATAATCGGAAGAACCATCACTTGGAATTCCCTGTGTGTTTTTCTCTCAGCTACTGCATTTACTAAGATTTAAAAAAAATGTATCTGTCTATCAGCTCAATTAATTTGCAATAAAAGAATACAATTGCCAGTAGATACACAGGAGAATTGCCTGGTTTGCCAAGGAGCCATACACTGAGGGATGCAGAATGAATGGTCTAAAACGACACACAGAGAGCTCGACATTGTCTTGCAAATATAATGCAGAGCAACGAAGCCAGACACAAAAGAGCACACGCTGAATGGCTCCTTTAATATAAAGGTTGAAAACAGGCACAGCTCATCTGTGGTAGTAGAAACCTAGATAATGGTTACCCTTGGAAAGATGAGTAGCACCTTGAAGGAAAAACAAAGTTGATGTAAAAGGCTTCTGAGTCCTACTAACATTCTGCTTTCTTGGGTATTTGCTACAATTAAGTATTTACTTTAAGAATCCATTGAATTATCATATACTTCGTGATCTGTACACTTTCCCGTAAGTGTGTTAGACTTTAATATACATGTTTCATAAACAATTAATATGGGTGGATAATCATGTTCTATTGCGTGAAATGAGTAGAAATGTTGCTGGATCCCTGAATCTCAGGCTTAAGATAGAATTTTTATGGACTATACTATAAGAATCGCCTCAACCTAGGGGATGGTACAATTCTGTGGCAGCAATGGACAATGAGATACCAAGGACCTATGTTGTACCTGTTGAAAAAGTATACCAAGGGGAAACGGTTACTATGCACATACAGAGATGGAATGCAGTGCTGTGACAAAGTGCTCACACAAGAACCTGGAGTCTGTCCCCCAAGGATGTACATTACACGGCAGAACTGCTTTGCCATGGCTTTGTCATTTCTGCAAGCATTTAAGGCAACTTCTCATTCTGATTTGTCTGTTACTGAGTTTGGTTGGCAGCATGCCATGTCCAATTAGACCCACAGGGATTTACTGAGGATAATGACAAATACTCTGTGAACCATAAATTTTAAAGGCCAAATATTCCTGTCCCCATGCATTTGTTGATAGAGTTTGCAATTTTGTACAATTTTGTAAAGAGCACTTCTTTAGAGACAATTGTCACCTAACAAAATGCTCAGTGCCATTTGTAGGAACAATTTCACGAGAATAAAATGCGACCATCTCATGCTTCAATTAAACTAGATATTTTTTTAAAATAAGCTTAATAATTGCATCCAATCACATGTCTGCCATATGTTAGCTATATGAACTTGGACCATTTCCTAAACCTAGTTCAACCTGCTCTTCTCCATCTTACTTTCATAGCATTGTCATGAGGATGAAGTGAGGTGAGCCATATAATTAATATGGAGCATTTGTCACGGAGTCATTATCCAAAACCGTGTTATAGCCCCACTCTTGCCTTTAATGATAGCTTTAATACGTCTTTATGGAGGAAACTATTCAGGGATATTTCAATAACAAGTATAATATTTAAACAGAGAAAATTGTAGAACAACCAAAACATATTCACTTAAAAATTAAAAATTGAAAAGTTTTTATATACTAACTCTTTCGGTGGTTTGGAAAAAGACTATCTCTCTTAAGTACTAATGGTAAAATTTTTAAAAAGATAAAATAAAATAAAATTCTGCCAGATTCCTAGAAGATCAGTGTTGGAAGGAAACAGAGTTTGAGAATGACTGGCAGGTTTATTCATTTCTCCCCACTATCGATCAGATGCCAAAGAAATGTCTTACAGGAGCCAGGTTTAAAGAGAAAAATGGAGCCATCTGTTTCCTTCCTAGGACTTCTAAGATTAGGTGACATCTTACATATTTCCCTCTTCCCATTTCCCTCTCTCAAGGGGCAAGGGAAGTATTTTAACAAGAAAAGTGGTCTTGAGATCTGCATCTTGGTGCAATTTTTACTGAGTGAACTTGGAGGTCACTTAATCCTTGTGGAATTCTTTGCGGGAGGGGGGGCTATATATTTGGTGAACTTCATTATTAATCACTATGAGGCCAAATCACATGTAAATAGAGTAGTAGTTCACATCAAAGCCTGAGAAAGTGCTTGCTGATGCCTGTAAGGTAGGGTAAGGCATTTGAGGACTGACGAATCAGTCAGTGTTCTTATGGTACTTCCTTCTCAACTCTGATTGTTCATTTGGGTCACATTATTGAATGAATGGAGGTCTGATGGAGAAAAAACACAGAGAAAAAGAGAAGAGGTAATTTGTGGCTTGTATGTTTCAAGATAAACTTTTTTAAACTCATTGTGGAGTTAATAGCTTTAGAGAAAATGAAAACAACTAGAGTTTTGACTGCCCAGAGTCTAGGCACAGACAGTAGTACTAGATTTGGAAGTCAGAGTGGGTTTGCTTCTAGCTAGTCTTTTCCTCACATGACCTCTAGTGCAGGAACCTAGAAGGGAAAGAAGGAGAGCCCAAGAGAAGAGGAAGCAGTAATAGAAAGAGGCAAACCTTTGTCACTGTGCATGCATTCCAAGGAATGAGGAACATAAAACCCTCATCTGAGTTTGAGGAACTCCGGTGCTGGCTGAGGGCATCTGCTTTCTGCCTTTAAGACAGAGTACTGAGAGGCAGTAAGTGTTCTAGAGTTCCCTTGTATTGTCTTTGAGAAGGGAACAATTGGATAAAGATGGCCTTAGGGTATCTCTGTTCCTGTGATGTGGGGAGCACTGTCAGGAGCTAAACCAAGGGAATCTTAATAAGGTCTTGTAACCAGAGTGAGACAAACCCTGCAGCAAACTGCAGAGCCAGTAGAGGTACAAAAGTCCCAGGAGGCTCCAGTGTAAACATTAGATAGTGGTACCTTGATGACCAAGCACACTCGCTGATCCCTAGCTGTCCAGACATTCAAACATCTACCAGGGCTTAGGTATAACTCGAGACAGGTAAAGGAGACCCAATATTCACAACATAAACCCTGAGACAAATAAGCACTGCCTAATGCGGAAGAGGTTAAATTCACACCATCTAATAGAAATGGCACAGAAGAAAATGTTCACAAGTAAAAATAGACACATTTCTCACATGAGTTTGGGGTCTTGGGGTTTGTGCCTGCCTACATGTTGCCATAAACGTGAAGCCATATATGAAGTTTCCAGTGAACTTTTTCTACAGGATTCCTACAGATGAAGCTGATCTTTTGCCTATAGCTTTTGCAAGAATTGAAGGACACCCTTGCACTGCTGCCCCCAGTGAAACACTTGCTCTCCATGGTTGCTAAGGAGACACAAAAAATTCCCCAGAGACTTAAGCCTTCCAAGTGCCCATCCTCCAGCTCGCTCTTCAACACAAGTGTGAGCTGGTCAGCGGACTCACCTGTTTCTGTGGACAGTCTTGTTCGAGTACTTCTTTTCTCAAAAATCATTCCTAAGGATTTCCCTTGCAACAAAGGCAAATACTGAAAAACCAAGGACAAAAATTACAATTAAAATGCAATATCCAATACCAAGGATTGTCTTAAAAAATGCTAATAAAAATACAAATCAACTAATTACTACTTCTGAGTAAATGGTCACAATGTTACTTAAAAACTGAATTTAAAGGTGTTTCACATTCAATATACACAGATTATTAGCATGGAATTTGGAATTAAGACTATTTTTGGATACAGGTTTCTTGTGTAGCCTAGGGTAGCCTTGAACTTGCTGTGTAGCAGAGGCAGGCTTTGAACTACTGATCCTCTTATTTCCATCTTTCAAGGCCTAGGGTTACAGATGAATGTCGCTATGCCTGGCATATATTGATTACTGGGTTCAGTCTGGAAGCTTATCCACAGCATACTATTTCACACTGAAGCCATCATCATCTTACTGAACACTATTGCAATCCCATTCAGTTTTCAGTGGTGCTGAAGATGGTTCATTCAGAGGGACTTTCTCAGCTAGTAAGATCCTACTCTGTCACAACATGGGACACTAAGAGTCCTTCTTAGGACACTGATGAACCCCAGTTTTTCAGCTTCATATTCGTCAGCCTCCCTCATGAGAATACATAAAGGCTTTGTTCCTGGAAGTCATTTGAAAACGCTCTGGGAGTCTGAGTATTAGGTGGAGCTCTTGCTCCTTCCTCTTGGGTTATTAGACTTCCTGTTAGGATGTGTTCTGGTCTTCTTGTCTTCAGTCAGCAAAGCATGAAAAGGCAAAGGTCTGCAACCTAAGGAGGCCTTTCCCCTATTTCAAGAACATCAGCACGTAGAAGTTGGAGCATTGCCTGACCTCTTCAGAACTTGGAGAGCTAGTGAACTAGATAAGAAAGCCAGAATCATATCAAACTTCCTCAGCCTGAAACCAAATATTATTTAAAAATGCTTTTGAGCCAGGTAAAGTGACATATCCCAGCACTGGAGAGGCAGAGGCAGGTGGATCTATGTGAGTATGAGGCCAGTCTGGTTTACACAGTGAGTTCCAGGTCAGCCAGAGCTAGAGAGTGAGACCCAGTCTCAGAAACAAACAAACAAACGAACAAACAAAGAGCTTTTGAATAAATTCATAATACAAATCTGCTTTCACTGAATTAAGCATTTTGAAGCATAAATTGCTCAAAATTCAGAACAATTCCCATAGTTAAGCACCACATTCAATTTCTTCCCCTATTTGGCTAGCATTTACTTGTTCCTTTATAATTGGAATGCTTTTAAAAACATAATCTTATCATTGTGAATATTACTATAATGATGACATATCTGATATATATCCAGAACAGAAATATATTGTTAAAAACCAACATCCCACCTTTAAGTTTTAACTGATACAATACAGAGAAAAAAAGGGACATATAAGAACAAAATCTTCTTAGACAATGAGAGCTCACCTTCAGATCCAGTTACTAATGAAGTTCGGCATTCAGCTGGGGGAAAAGGTGCAAGGACTTGTCATAGAATAACTGCTTTTCATGCTTGTTTACAAGCCTGCACACTCGGTGCTAATCAACTACCTTGCCTGTGAGGTTTCATTGCTTAGCTAACATTCAGGAATGTTAATGTACTTTGTTTCCCTCTGCCTTAGGAAAGCTGCTTCCAAAAGGGCTATTGGTTTGTAACGGAAGAGAAGAAAGAAGAAATGCCACATACCTCCCCTTTGTGCTTTATCCGGAATTTCAGATCTGCAGATAGCCATAGCATGTACTGAATCTCTTCTCCGGTGAAGTCCTTCAGGGTGAGGAGGTCACGGCCTTTCAGCTGTACTTGGCTCTGTACCGGCTTCCCACACCTACAAAAGAAGAAAAAAAAAAAACAGAAAAGGACAATATGTATTCAAGAAAATGATGCTATGGGGTGGTCCATTGGCCGGTTCTCAAAATCAAACATAGTAAATCACATAGTATAGCATGTCTCTCTGCAAAGTGTTAATAAAATTGATATGGCTGTGGTTTCAATTTTATATATACAGTAATTGTTATGTTTGAGAGAAAAGAAGAATTTGTGGAAAGAAATTGACACACTTGAATTAGCTGGATGGGTAGCTTTGCCACTTATTAAATTATACAACTTCAGGCAAGTTACCCAGCTTCTTTCTGTAGATGTTTCTCAACAACAAAATGAGTGTAATAGTTCTATAGTGTCATTGTGAAAGTGAAACTATTTAAGTCATGTAAACCAGTGCTCAACATAATATGCACTAGGCAAAACTTACCTACTCTTATTGAAATCTGTGCAAGCAAGATTTATAATGCACAACAGAAAATTGTGTTGTTTACTCCTTTCGGATCTCTTGGAGAAGAATTGTATTCCTTTTGTCACTAGGAGAAAACACAGTCAGCCCTGTAGCTTTTTTAGTACTGCAGAAAGAATTTTTAAAGTTCTCTGGTCATTTTTTTTTCACCAGAAAATAATGATTAGTAAAATAATAAACAATAACAATATAACAAAGGTAAGCACTTTTTAGCTTGGGAAATTCATTGCAAGTTGACACCCTTTGCCTTCAGCTCATATCTGATTAAGATTGGTCTCCTTTATTGGAGGAAGACAAGCCAGAACCAGGCTGCTCTCTCCTTGCCTTCAGTCCCTAAAGGTGAGGTCAACAGAAGAGCAAATCTACCTATGTTCTAGCTTTCTGGTATTGATGTAGGTGTTTGAGAGCAACTGTTTGTGTTGTATTTATGAAAGTCACCTAGAGAGACTGAGAGAGATTTGTCCTGACTGTGGGCCAGGCAGGAAAACTCTAGCTACAAATGGCATCCAATGTGGTGGCAAGAGTTTCCACCTAAAAACTGAGAAAAAAGATTCTAAAACAGAGCTAAAAACAGTTCCTAATTATCTCTCTCAAATGAGTGGCAGCTGCCTGTTTGAGCTACTTGTGGGTTCCTGGCATGTGCGCTCGACCTGCAGTATGGCGGGAATGAGGCCTCTGCAAGTGGCACATTAAGTTGCATGGTGGATTTAGCCTTTGCTAGTACAAAACAAGAAGAGAGGTTTCTGGGCTACACGCTGCTTGGCTAAAAGCATAGACCCCACGATAGCTCCCAGAGCTGGCGAATGCTATGTTGGGAAGCTGAGGTGGGCGGAGCCAGCAGCCACAGCTGCTGCAGTTTAAAGCAATAGATTCACAATAAGACAGATTCAGATGTAATAGTTTAAAATGTGTGTAAAATATACGTAGGCTTGAAAGAGACAAAAAAAGGTGATATATACAGTTATATAAACAAATACATAGTTTTAAAAAAATAAAGTCTTTAAAGAGACAGTAAAATTAATATAAAAAATAAGCCACGTAAAGATGAATATTACACAGAGAATCTGGATTGTGTTGTCTTTGGGATTTTTAACTGCAGAAAAACATTTGATTGTAAAAGCTGTTGAGTTATGCCAAAATATATATTTTAAAGATACCTTGACTTCAAAATTTGGATATAAGGATATGTTGCTTTGGAAAAGAGTCTCTTTTGTTCCCACAGAAAGCCAGAGGCTATGGATTTGTTCCAGATTAAGATACATCAGGTTTGACCAGCCAAGACCCCCTGAAAGGTCTCCGATGACACCATGGCCCAGATGATCCAACATCCAGAATGGTTTCAAGGCAACTGGCTCAGACGGTACAGCCTCACCGACTACTCCATGATCCTAAAATTTTCTTTGTGTCCCCATAAGATACAGCGCCCCCCTCCACCAGGAAATAGTAAGAGAAGGTACGCCCAAATTCCCAATTTATATGTAATTTTACTTTGTTAAGGTTAAAACCTTCCTTTTAAAAAAAAGGGGGGGGGAAGTGCTGTGGGATGTTCTGTATGGCAAATGTGTTGCTGATTAGTCAATAAATAAAACACTGATTGGCCATTGGCTAGGCAGGAAGTGTAGGCGGGACAAGGAGGAGAATAAAGCTGGGAAGTGGAAGGCTGAGGCAGAGAGACACTGCCAGCCGCCACAATGACAAACAGCATGTGAAGATGCCGGTAAGCCACGAGCCATGTGGCAAGGTATAGATTAATGAAAATGGATTAATTTAAGCTGTAAGAACAGTTAGCAAGAAGCCTGCCATGGCCATACAGTTTGTAACAAATATAAGTCTCTGTGTTTACTTGGTCGGGTTTGAGAGGCTATGGGACTGGCAGGTGAGAGAGGTTTGTCCTGACTGTGGGCCAGGCAGGAAAACTCTAGCTACAAGAGACTCTCTCAGAACAGTTTTTGATGTGAATAAAAATATGTCCTCAGCCACCACCACCCCAATGAGATCTTTACACCTCTCCAGGACATCTCTTGTCATGTTCAGAAACAATGCCATGCTACCAGTTCTTTTCTTATTCCATCCTCTCTCATGGGAAGCACTCCATATTGCTTGACCTGATGAGACTAAGGCTTTCTACTACATTCTATTAGAGTCCTCTTTTAATCTGCCATCAAGGCAGTGAACTAGTCAGCACTACTTACTTTAATCTCTCTCTCTCTCTCTCTCTCTCTCTCTCTCTCTCTCTCTCTCTCTCTCTCTCTCTGTGTGTGTGTGTGTGTGTGTGTGTGTGTGTGTGTGTGTGTGTGTGTATGTGTATGTTCCAGGACTTATTATTCTTGCCTAACTAATTTTGTACCCTTTCATCAACATCTCTCATTTCTTCATCTACTATTCTCACCTTCATCTCTTGAGAACCACTGTTCGACTCCCAAATTTTTTGTTTTGTTTTCCAGGACAGGGTTTCTCTGTGTAGCCTTGGCTGTCCTAAAATTAACTAGCTCTGCCGACCAGGTTGGCCTCAACCTCACAGAGATCCTCCTGCCTCTGCCTCCCAAATGTGGTGATATTTTATTTGTCCTGAAATGTGGTGATACTTTATTTGTGCTGAAATGTGGTGATATTTTATTTGTGCTTGAATAAATAAAGCTTGTCTGGAGATCAGAGGGAAAAGGCCAGCCATTATAAGTAGACAAAGAAGTCAGGAAATGGTAGCACATGCCTTTAATCCTATTATTTGGGAGGCAGGGATCTGTTTGGATCTCTGTGAGTTCAAGGCCACACTGGAAACAGAGCCAGGCATGGTGGCACATGCCTTAATTCCAACACTAGTTAACCATGGAAGTCTGGAGGTCTGTACAGACTGACAGAAAGTGACAGAGCTGTGTAGGAAGAGGAAGTGATGTAGCTGAACGGAGAGAGCAAATCAGATGGCAGAACAGCAAGGCATATAGGTGTGGGTAGACAGGAAGTAACTCGCATTTGGAAGCTGCAGAGTGGGTGAAGTAAGGTTGGCTGTGGCTTTCCCTATTTCCCTGATCTCTCTAACGCATTCACCCCTATATTTGGCTCCATGTTTTTTATTTAATAAGACCATTTAGAAATTCATCTACACCCAAATACTGGGACTAAAGGCATATGCCACCACTGCCCAGCTGAGTTAAACTCTTTTACACTCCACATACACTAAGATCCTGAGGTATGTCTTTCCTATTTATGGTTTATTTCACTTATATATAGTATTCTCAGTTGGCCTGTGTTGTCCCAAATGCCAGAGTTCCTTGGATATTTGCAGGACAAATGATATTTCAGTGTATGTATATATGCCACACATCTTAATCCATCTGTCTATTAATGAACACTTAGGTTGTTTCCTTATCTTGGCTTTTGTGACTGATGTCTGTCAAGATGGCTGGACTACCATACTTTTTAAAAAATCCTCTGTTAATCTCCACCCCCTGGCTTGGTTTCTATAACCTATTTTATATTACGTTATTGATAACATATGTTATAAAGTGGATTCCTGTCTATCTCTTTGCAAGTCTGTTTTGTGGGCTCTGCCTGCTCACTTTGATCCAGTGAGAGTAAAGTCATTACTTGGCTTGGCCTGGGTACAAACTAAGACAGAAATATACCTAGTTTAGCATTCTGTTGCATTGTGTTGATTCCTGTTATTTGAGGTAATCACTGTATAAAATGGCTGGTTTTGTTTAATTATTCCCAGTGTTACCTTTATTTAATAATAACTAGAAGGTGAGTAGTAATTAGAAAGGATGATAAACTGAGGGAAATTGATTTACTAGGAACATACTATCACAAAATGATCATGCTTGGATTCTATAATAAGGAAAGAATTTAGGTATATATTCTTTTGTGATTTATGTATATCTTTTTGCAGTAGTAACGTGATCATGGGTATGAAAATCACAAATCACTCAAATTGCTGATTCCACTTTATGATGTATGATAACCTGGACAAATTTCACTAAATGACTTTCTAGCAGAGTTAACTTGTTCATCTATAGTTCAATAAGTGAGTACATTTTTTTTCAGAACACATGATAGGAACTATATGTTTCAGAATTTTGAGTTGATAAAGAAGAGTAATTTCACCAGGATTGAGAGTTTGTGGGTGGGTTGGCTAGTTAGTTGGCTATATTAATATGAGATACTAATAATATATTTCACTACACATAGAAAGAAACTGACCTTTTCAGTTTTTGTGTGGAAAAAAATTTTGGTCTGCACTCCTATTTCATAGATGTAAGACTCTTCAACTTTACAAAATACACAAATAAGAATTTCTTTCAAACAGTGGTCTTCGAATTTCTAGCTAACTTTCAACATGGGGCTGGAGAGATGGCTGAGTGGTTAATAGTGTTCTTGTAGAGGACTCTGGTTTTGTTTCGAGCACACATATGGTCACTCACAATGTTGTAACTCCAGTTCCAGGGAATCTGATGTCCTCTCCTGCAGGCTTTTGCATGTATGTGGTGCACATACATACACTCAGGCACACACATATGCATATAAAATTTAAAGATATTCAT